TGTGTTCTCTACTGATGGATCTGTGTGTGGGTAGGAGAGCTCTTTCAATGTTCAGGCTATTTTCAGGTCTTCCAGGTTTTACTCTCTACTGGGCCCTTTTGTGTATCCTACATACAAGTGCATAGCCTCAGGGCAGTCCAGGAGAGCACAAGTAGCTTGGGACACCATCAGTCTCCAGTCAGACAGGAATGTGCTTGCCATAGCCACATGCACAACCTCAGCCTAGTAGAGCTGTTAGCCCTCCCCTGCTGGCCCGCCTCCAAGAAGTCACGTCCACTGACAATGCCACTGGGTGTGGGTATTGCTCACTAATCCAAATTGAGCTCCCTTCAAACCCAGGCAGAGAAGCTGCTAGTCTTCATGGCCTGCCTTGCCTTGGCAGAACCTCCATGCCAAATAAGCTGGGAGAGATGGGAACAGCTCTAGACCAGAGTGCCACAGACACCCACTATTCTTACCCAAAGTTCAGCTTCTCAGATTATCATATACCTTTGGCTTATTTCCAGTCAAAAAGCTTACTTTTGTCAGTTTTGCTCAACTTTATAGGTATTTGGGGTTATTGGCTGATATCCTCATTTGGCCATAGCTGGAAGTCCTGCCCTTTCAATCTTTTTTTGTCCTATCCTATAGATGGATCTCTTAGAAACAACTTATAGCTGGATTTTTAAACATCCTGTCTTTAACTGGAGAATTTAATCTATTTATTTTGCTTGGCGATTTTTAGATGTATTTCTAACATATATGTTATGCTTTCAACTTATTCTAATGTTTCTATTCCTTTATTTCCCTCTCTTGACTTCTTTTGGATTAATTGAGATTTTGCTTCATTATTTGATATTTCTTTACAATTTTGGAAATAAAACAGTCTCTTTATTTTCTAGTTACCCTCAAAAATTCAGCATGCATATTTCTGTTAACAAAGCTTAAAGTCATTCAACATTGATTTGGCCATGAGAGAGTGACAGGATCCAGAATTACCCTCTCACCATAAACAACTAGAAAACTTGGCAAAATATATGAACCAATTATTTTCAGATGGTGGGCAACAGTCAATGAGAGACTATGGTCCCTGAAAGAAATGAAATGAACTAGGTGAGCTCTGCCACCCAGGATTTCTGGCTGAGGTAGAGGAAGCATAAAAACGTGACCCATCATGAGAAGAAAAATGAGCCAATGAAAATGGACCTAGGGGAGTTTAAGTTTCTGGTCCAGCATATCAGGAGCTCGGAAGTCATCAGTATGTCCTAACAAGAAATAAAAGCTGAAGAAACATAAAATCAACAACTCCTCTTAGATCTATCAGAGAATTGAGGCCACCAGATAAACTGCTGCCCCCCAAACTGGAGAGACAGACAGATGCATACAGCACTGTAATTACTGAATTGCTGGAAGCTCAGGGCAGACTAGTCTGAAAGTTAAACTCCAGAGAGAGGCCTGTCTTAGGAGGGCACCCATACTTTTGTGAGTTTTACCTCTAGGAGCTTGACCAGGTTCTCAGAGTGAAAAAAAAATCTCCTCATGCTTCTTCCAGGGGGAGGGAAAAGTAAACATTTTGAGATGTGTCCAGAGCATTCTCTTCTCCTTAACAAGGCCTGCCCTCAAGAGAAACTATTTTACCAGAGCCTAACCTGTGAGGGTTTTATCAGAGCCTAACCAACCTGGGGAAAGGGAAATACCCAACTCCAGCCCCTTGCAGCCTGAAGGGGGCACGATCCTAGAAGCACTGATGAAGGTCACAGTCTGGGACACAGGCTTCACCAAAAGACTAAGACCTAATTACAGGAGTAGAGAATGCCTTCTCTCCCTCTGTACCTCACCACCACATCACTAAAGGCCTATTTGCAATGGTTCCTTTTACCCAGTACAGCATGTCCCACTTTCTTTTTCTTGTTATTTTTTTTAAAAAAACAAGGCTGGAGTGCAGTGGCATAATCATAGCTCACTGTAACCTTGAACTCCTGGGCTCAAGCAATCCTTCTGCCTCATCCTCCCGAGTAGCTGGGACTACAGGTGTGTGACACCACACCCAGCTAATTTTTCTATTTTTG